AAGACCTATCCGTATAAATTTCTAATAGAACACTCATTTCACCTTCTCCGTCGTCGTTTTCTTCCGCATTTTGAGCTCGCGGTTTACACTTGAAACGATGGGGTTTATGGACCGCCATGACCGCGATCGAAAGGTGAACACTGGAAATAATATAAGGGGAGGGTAATTAAGGTTGAACGCTTTTGACGTCACAATTGCAACTAAGCTAGTTAGTTATTCAAAATAGAAGTGCTTTGGCTATTTTGAAGTGGAATTTCATTAGAATCTGAGTCGATCTTTGAGGCTTTGAGGCTGAAAAAATGGTAACTAACTCGGCTGAGAGTAAAATATTTAGCGGTGGTTACAAAATATATATCATTTTTCGAATGAACTTGTCCTTTAACCACGAGAACCAAGAAACTGCCACATGTGAAGCGCAATATCTTATTCCACGCATAATTGCTGGTCGATCACATCGATATCGAAAGAATCTGTCGCTGTTGTATATAACTTACATCGCCAAGTTGGTGAGCGATGTCTCGTAAACAATTGCAATTTGACATAGCAATGTGAAATGTAGAGGCATAAAGGTTGTGTCTTGTGTTTTTTTCGACAGACGCTTCAACAACACCATTGAAATGTCATCATAACATTGCGGAATTTAGCAGCGACAACATTCAGATGGTACTTGCAATACTCCTTTGACTGACTCTGAACCAAAGTAAAGATCGAAGATGCATGATCATTTACTTCCGAAATACGTACAGTTGCATGAGTTACTCGCTTTAAAGCAGGGAAAATAACATAGTGGAAATTGTGCTGTAGTCATCAAGTTTATATTACTAGCGCTCTTAAAGAGCAAATGAAAATAATGCTATTCTCTGAATTTTATACGTACCGCTATCTTAACGATAGTCACAAAGTAGAGAAGGTTTCTCAGCATCTTCTGATCGCTTCGTTGCGTATAGTATCCTTATATATAAAGGAAGAACTATAACTTTGGCGAAGAGTTTCCGGGTGCTGTTACACGACAGGTCGTGTAAATTGTCGCATAACGCAAGACCACGTTAATTAACGAATGAGAAGAAGGTGCCACATCATTGGACAACGCCAGTCGTCACGCTAGAGACTAGCGTACGTGATTTGGAGCATGTAACCGTCTAGGCGTTGGCATTGGGCGGTCGTGTATGTAATGTTTTGATTAAGACCCCCTTGAGATTGGGATTTTAATAAGTTCGCCCACTAAAACCCAGAATTATTTGCATGCAATGCAAGAGCAAATATCAAATCAACAAACGAAAACTGAGAAAATGATTTGTGGCGTGACAATACTTTAAAATTGATTAAACAATTATTGCAATATGAATAGACATTGCTTACCTAATTTCTTTGTTTCCGCGGAGCGGTGTGGAAAGTGACCGTCAGATTACTTTTATGCATTTCTGTGTACTATACCCTCTTATGTTATCCGACATTTGCAAACTTATCGGTCGAGGAATTGTAATTTTCCCGCTTACGTTCATAAAATCTTTAAACCAGAGTGGCATCAAACGATGTCTGATTGTCCACCTATACTAGTCGCTGTGCGAACTTTAATATTTCTTGCTGATCGCCAGTATTGCGATCATTATTACTGGTCGCGAATGCTCAGCTGAATTTCATTGTGATTAAAGTTGTTATAATTTTGTCGAGTGATAAGTCGTCTTTAACACCCAGATAAGGTCTTCAGTTAAACTCGCCTTGGAGGATATGACCTGTATTTTTAGTAGAGTAGCAATGAAACAAGTGAAGGACATACTCAGTTTTTAGAATAAACAAACAAGCACCTTTTTTGAGCTAAAATGCCTCTAAGATTTCTGATTCCCATCACTGAGCAAAGAAGGGACCGTCTCCTGACCGTCAATCTACTTGGTGATCATGCCACTTATGCCGGTATTTCGCTCAAGAAAAATTTCTTGTTTTTATCAATACAAATTTTCTATTCGATCTCTGAATGATTTCGTAATCTACGTAACGATTTACATTCATAAAATCTTTGAACCAGAGTGGCATCAAACGATGTCTGATTGTCCACCTATACTAGGGAACAGGGAAGTCCCCTATCTGGACATTCACCTCAAAATGTTAACATTATTCTTGGGGTTAATAAGATTATGTGTATTGAGTGTAGCGTCATCAAGAAGCAGACACTTTCATCAATGGAAGTTACTTTTCATATTTAATAGTACAAAATATTACCTCTTGTCAGCTATCAACAGTTTTGATACGAAAGAACTTCGTGAGAATTGCTTTTAAAATTGGAAGAATAAAACTCGAATTTAAAAAGAAAGTAATATTTCTGTGATCTTAGTGCAAACATTTGGGCCCTATCATTTGAAGAAACCACAGAGCCATTCTTGATCCAATTGATTCTGCAATGCCCAGACTAT